CTACCAAAGATTATTCTATTCATAAGTTCAATAAGAATTATTTATTTGTAAAGCTAAGCTTTCCAAGGCGGCCGGTATGTTGAGACTAAGGCTGACGGCTGTCGTTAGAAAAGGAAGCCTGGATAGGAGGCTTGAATCCTTCGTGATTCCAGCAGATGTCGCGGGTCCCGCATAAGAGGGGCCCCCTCCCCTGCTGCACTTTCGTGTGTTTTTTTTTTATATATATGTTCGTTGTACGTCCGTCTTGCACGGTAGCGTGTGTTACAAGGCTGCATTGTGGCAGCATTTTTCATAATAAAGTTAGTTTTCTTCAACAAAAGGAAGGAGACGCCGCGAGTGTTTATTTTCACCTCGCGTCACACCCAACAACTTCCTTTCTTTCTTTAATTTGTACAATTCAGATTTTCGATAATGAGATCGATGTACGTATTTTTCGTACACTTTAGTATCTTGAATCCGAGATCAATGTACACTTTAATAATGTCTCTAGTAGATGAATTAAAAATTTCTATATGAAAAACATTAATAATTTTCGCACTAACAACCAGCGATAGTTCGAGATGCTCTTTAATATATATTAATTTGATATTATCATACGAGCCTTATGATGATTTTAAAACATTAATGTTATGTTACTTTGTATTTGCTGGAAAAATACTAAAAATGAAGATAATTGTAAATTTACAAACGTAGTTTAATTTATATAGTTTTCTTTTAATAAAAAGTTCTATACTTTCGAAAATATATTTATAATTAATTTACCAGCGATTAGTAATATTTGTAAAAAATAATAAAACATTTGTCTTGCACAATCGTATTTTATGATATTTTGAATTTCGTATTATACTCTGATCGTATTATATAATTAAAACTTTGTCACATTATAGATATTAAATTTTGATTATATTACTAATACACTTTCATAAAAATGATACTAAAAAAACACAAGCAAGAGAAAGGAAATAAAGATATACTTTGCATCCTTAAGCCATAAGTAACCCGACACCTGTCAGATCGGAGTTAGAAAAACAAAAAAAACTTCGTGACTCATACATTAAATGCTTATAGCATACATAAATTATGAAATTACAAGATCCTACTTTTGGTTTAATTACGTTAAAAAAATGTAAAGTTGTTACAAATATGTTATAAATTTGTTGTGAACAATGTTGTGTTGCAAAAAAATGCATGAAAAAAATTATATAAAAATGTAATTTAATCAACCGAGAGAAGGAAAGATTAAGAGAGAAAAAATAAATTACTCTACAAAATCATTGTGTGCGCGCGCGCATGAATAAAAAATTTTAATTGCAATTAAATATCATATACTTAATTAGTTATTCAGTTTAATTATTATTATACATCATTATTTAATTTAATAAAATAAAATTAATCACAT